TTTTTTACAGAGATCCATTTATACTTTCCCAAGGTCAGCAACTAATAACAACAAGGCAACAAGGTGAAATTTAATATCCAAAAAGCATCTGAATCTGACTGGTGTTTTGGTTATCTCGCCTACTAAATCAACAAATTCCTGGTAACCAAATTATCACAAATACTAGTTGCTCTGTACAACTGGTTAGAATTTATAGCAAAAAAAGAAAGAAAGAAAAGGATCCAATTAAAGAGAAGTAAACTTTTTGAGGAAAAAAAAAAAAAACAAAACTCATCCTCTATCTATGACAAGGTAAATTCCAGCCACAAAGGTAAGAGACTTAATCTGTTTTGTTTGCTGTATCCCCAGCTTCTAGCAGTGTCTGACATAGGGTAGGTGCACAATCAATACCTGTTAAATAGAGACAGCTGATAAAATACATTATTATCTTATCTATATTTTTTCTTTAGTTCAGAATAAATAAAACAGGATTCATTTGTGGAATGCAGAACCTCCCATGTAGATTCACACTGACATCTGATTCTGGAAAAAGCTCCAGCCTTTGGGATTGCCAACTGTAAAATAAGCTAATTTACATCCCAGATATTGACTGGATGATCAAGCCTGAGCCTGTGTTAGTATACTAAGTGCAGGTTAGGACTTTGAACCGGTTCAGACTGGTTCAGTCGTGTCCAATGAAGTGAAATTTGGGTGAAGTGGAATGATAATCAGAATGGGAAAAATTATGGGTTGAATCTGGAAGAAGAGACTCGGAAGTGGCATAGTGAGCCTTTCAGAAGTCTGATACTGGAGACTGGATTATTGCCAGGACTTTGGAGAGCGACACACATTCAATGCAGCATGATCGGCTGCCATCTTTGAGCAAGGTACCATTGTTTCCAACTCTGCCGATGAAAAGATTTGGTTGTTGTGCAATGTGTAATACAGTCTTTGTTTTCCAAGAGGCAGGGTGTTGACCCGTAATTTTTCCCTTTCCAGTTTACAAATTAGATCCATTTCAGTTTTACTTCATCGGCCATGATTGAACCAGGAAGAACTGATTCGAAGCCCTGGTGCAGGTAAGCAAGAATTTCAAGCCGTCATCCTTACTCAGGTAAGCAATGCCAGCAATAATAAGTAAGCTCTTCTGGCAAATCCATCAAAATCAAATCTTAAACTTTTGAAAAAACTACTATGTTTATTATGTTCCCTTCATACTTAGAGGTTTACCTATCTGTGGGGAGAAACTGAAATGGATGATCAATTATTTATGACTTGAAAACATTGATAAAGGTATCTGCCCTTTCAGGAAACCTTTAAAAAACCAAGCATATGACTATAAAACTGATCCTGTGGGACAGTAATCAATCACAAGTTTGGGGCCCAATTTTGACAACTCTCTCTTGGAATAAAACAAATTGGCACCTGCCCTTAATTTCTTGACCCTGCTAGGACAAATACCAGCAATCTCTAACATCCAGAATTTATAGTCTGGCCGAGCAAGTCATGGAGGCCAATGACTGCCTCAAGACAGAGAAGAAAAAGAACAGGAAGGAAACAAAAAGGGAATCGTTTCAAACGCACCAGCCACTGCTCAGACGGAGGGTTGGGCAATCTACTTCCGTAGTAGAAACCCAAGGAGGGGTCACTATGAGTCGGGTCCAACTCGACAGCACATAACAACAACAAAGCTCATGAGGGTGACGGTCATTGATAACAACCTCAAGTGTCACTGAACTTCATGGCATATCACTAATAGCCTTTCTAAAAGCTAAATACACTCTGCAAGCTTCTTGGTTCTGGAGGCTTCAATGTCTGGGTTTGACTATGATCTGTTCTACAAAAAGGTCAGGTGAACTGAAGCCTTACTGGAAACTTGCTCCAGGGCAAGGGTATCACTAATCTGTCTCAATACAAATAATACTTAAGACATTTGAAGTACAGGCAATCCACAGATTATGAACTAGTTCCATTCCTAAATCTGTCTTTAAGTCGAATTTTTATGTAAGTCAGAATAATCATATATGGTTTGTATCTAATGTTGGTAAGTCAAATGTTGTCTTAGTATACAAACCCAGAAAAACCCACTGCCACTGAGTTGACTCTGACTCATAGCGACCCCTACTGGGTTTCCAAGGTGGTATATCTTTATGGAAGTAGACTGCTCCATCTTCGTTCAATGGAGTGGCTGGTGGGTTTGAACTGCCAACCTTCTGGTTAGCAGTCAAATGCCTTAGGCACTAAGCCAACAAAGTTAGAGTAACTTTCTATGTGTAAAATACATTAAAGGAACAGTTCCAGATACACTAACACATCTTTAACATAATAATAATAATATTTTGATGCACATAGCAAAGTAGCACCCATTTACTATTAGGAACCATTGCATGTACTTCAAATTTTTGATATAATAGGTTTTACAGGGATTGGTTCGTAACTACAGATTGTATGTAAGACAGACAGTTGGATGTCTGCAACCCAAGACTGTCTGTACTTTTAACTTACAAAGTGCTTTCATACACACTATCTCACTTCATTCTCATGACAGCTCTGAGGTGTCATCATCACCATGTAACATACAAAGATAGCTCTAAAAAATGATGCTTTTGTCTTCAATTTACAAGCACGTCTCTCTGAAATTTCACAGTAACAAATCTAAGTCATGAGTCAACTAGATCTCTTCAGAGGACAGATCTCAAAGACACACCAATCTTAAGAGGATAAATCAAGAGAATGAGTAAGAGAGATCATCCAGAATCTACCAGCACAATGGCAAAAACAACTCACCCTTCTGTTACAAAAACAGATTGTGCTTTGTAAACTTACAGCATTACATCATTCTTAATTGAATACTCCATAGGAAACAGACAAAATAAAATAATAACTTTTTTTAAAGAAATTCTAGTGGTGAAATTCGTCCACTGGGAAGGGCTTAGGCGATTTCTTTGGAAGAGAACTAAGTTAGGGAGGGTAATCGTACCCTTCCCTTTTCTTTTCACTCTTACAAAGACCCCCAAACAAGATTTTTGTTGTTTTTACCAATAAAAACACATCCCCCAAAAAAG